TATCTTTTGAAGACGAAGCTTCAGTTGGTTGAGGAAGTTCAATAAACTGTTTCTTAGCAGGTCGTTGCTGTTGGTCGATGTTAGGGGAAGAAGAGCGAGTCTTGTTAGACTTGTTGTTGTTATTGTTGTTTCCATTTTTTTTTCCGGTCATATTGAAATTGAAGATCAGCGGAAAGAGTTTTTTTTTATTGCTATTAAAATATTTAAGTTTTCTAAAATATTTTAAAAACAATTTTATATTTATAGTTTAAGGAATAATATTATTTTAAGCATAATATAAGATTATTATAATATAATTATATAACAATATTGTTATTATAAATATATTAATTATATAATAAATAATGTAATTTTTTATTAATACTTCTTGTATACAAATTTATGTTTTTTTTTATATTATTGCATTCTTTTATTTATCTCTATTCTTTAATAACAATAAATTTTTATTTTTTAAAATATAATAAAATTATATAAATTTAATTAAAATTTTTAATATAAATAAATTTTTTAATAATAAAAAGTGCTTATTATAAATGATAATATATTAAAACTTAAAATTATTAAAAAAAATAATTTAAGTATAAATTTATTAAGATAATAATATATATTCAAAATAATTAAAAAAAAATATTATAAAATATAACTTTGAAATATTTAAAGTAAATAATAATTAAAAATTTATAAATTTTTAAAATAAAAATTATTTTAGAGATTAATAAAAATAAAACTAAATAAATATAAAATATATTAAAAAAAAAAATAATCTTTATATAAATAAAATAAAAATAAACTAAACTAGTTAAAATAAAAATCATAATTATATTTTAAAAATAAATATTTAAGAATAATATTAAGAAAAAAAAATAAATACAAAAATATAATTAATATTATTAAAAAAATTATTTTCTTTATTATATTGTATTTTGACTAAAGAAGTTTATTTTAGATTAAATAAAAATTTAGTAATACATCAAAAAATAAAACCTTAAATTCTTATAATAATTAATAATTTAAAAATAATAAAAAAGGTAATAGAATACCAAAAAGATTATTATAAAAAAAAAAAAATAAAAATAACAAAAATAAGGATTATCAAATTAGTCTAATTAGTTAAGAATTTTTTTTAACCTTTTTATTTAATACCTTGATCGTTTTCTCTAAATTGAACAATTAATTTGTGCAATGAAATTTTCTTCACAACTTATTATGTTAAAAAATATTTGTTATTAAAGAACCATTTCACAAAGAATTTTCGTCTGTTTTTGATTCTCATATCTGTATATTTTATACAAATCAAAGTAAAAGCAAGTGTCAAAGATAGAACTTAAATCGAATTTAAAGCAAGCAAACTTTGAACGAAAATTTATTGGACGTTATAATATTGAGCAAAGCATTCTAAAAAATTACAGTATCTGTCATCCCATTTTCTTAATTATCATTCAAATAATGACTCTAGGAATTCCTCAAATAATAAGAAATTTATTGAGAATTAAATGACTTTATAACCAAACCAAATGCCCAAATGTGTGATAATAAGTAAAACATCAATCAATAACAGAGAAAAAAAAAATATTTGAAAAACTATAAAAGGTAAAAGAAATTGAAAAATGAGATTTTAGTAATTATAAATGAAAATAAATTCTGTCCATTATTTTTTTTTTCATCCTTTATTTTGTCCACCGATTAAGAAATTGTATAAAGATTCGCTAGATCTTGTAAAAAATTAGACCACCTAAGGAAAAAAGGAATATTCATTTATTATTATTACTTTTAAATAAAAAAAAATAAATAAACGAAAAAAATTTTTTATTAACCTATTTGTTCCACCATAACGTCAATGGCATCTCCGTCTTCCATGTCAAGCTGATATCAACAGAAGAAATTAACGAACAAATTATAAATAAAAAATGCACAAGTGATGAATATATTATCGATATAAAATCTTTAATAATCGATTTAAAAAAATTTACCTCATGAGGTGTATTATGACTTTGAACTCGTTCGCCATCGTAAAGGAACCGGAGTGATGCCAACGATTTGCCTTGTCTTTCACAATACGCATCCATTAATTTTTTAAGTTGCGTTGTCCGTTTGATTTTGAAGAACACCTCGTTGTGATCCTAAGACGCAAACATGAATAAGAAGTAAATACTTAACGCGTCTTTTTAAGGTGTTGCAAAAATTTTGTACGAGTTGAAAATATGCTTTTAAGCGCGCAATGTTAGTGTCAACTTTCCGCTAAAGAAAGCCCACAGTTTTGGACGCGCTATATTTCTTTGCTATTATACTCTCCAGAATAAAGCATAAACTTACATTTCCCACTACTTTCAGATTAATGTGTTCAGTACTATCGCCTTTCTTTTCGTCTCCAGTTTGCGGTGCTTGGTTTTGTTCAGACATATTTATAAAACTTTTTTTTTGTGATCTTTACGGATGGTAGCTTTAGTAATAAAAAAAAAACCAGGTAGTAGGCCTTTTGAAATTTATGATATATTATTTTTTTTTTGAAAAACGTGACAGATAGTTGGATAGTAAGTCTCAGGTTATAATGTTTATGACAAATTAAAAATGAAGAGAGTTCATTAGGTTTCTATTTTATGATATTCTAAACATGTAAGTATCACATGATTGATTTATTGCCCAATCAAATTTTACGTTGAAAATTACGTAATTGTACAACTCTTCAAAGTTACCTATATAAAGGGCATGGATCCAAAATATTTTCGACTTTTGTTTCGATAGTCATGGTCCAGCTGTCTTCTATTCCATCATCTTTTTCGCGTACATCCTATCCAAAACTTTATTTAAAAGCAAGCAAAAGACTTCTTCAGCCTCAATTTCTTTTACTCATCTTTGCTGCTAGCATCGGCTTGTTTATTACCTGTGTTGTCCTAGTTGATTTTCAAGACGACGAACCTATAGAAGACGAAGAAAACGATGAATAAAAACCTTTTTACTCCTTCAAAATCTATCAAAGCTATAAATTCTATGGAACATACCTCTACGATGAAAGATAACATTTCTGATAGATCCTCTTCTTCCAAAGAAATTTGGAAGAATGCTATAAACACATTACTTACTGCGCTCGGTATAATTTCATAATAATTAATTTATTATTATTATATTTTATATTTAATTAATTTACACAATTTATTAATCAGAGAATATTTTGTTGGATGAAAACGGAATGCCATTAAAGTTGAGTAGCACCGAAGTGGAAGAGAATGCCGAAAACAAATTGAAAAGAATTGGCTGTATGTAAATTCGATGTTTGTGATCATTTATTCCTTGAGCTTATTTAAAATGTTTATTTCTTTTTCGTTTTAATTTTGCAGCAAATTCAATGATAATAGAGAATTTTGATATTGCTTATGGTAACCTATCGCCCCTTAAACGGAAACGTGAAGAGGATAGTCAGCGTAAAATCAAGACGCAAAAAATTTCACATTCTTTATCTTCGCAATTTGCTAGAAGCTTATCCTTTACAGAAGATGAGTCAAATGATGAGGGAGAATCATTAAACGCACAACAAGGTTCTTTAAACTTTACCTATGTTCCCAGACCAACAGACTTATCTCAGCGTAATTTTAAGTGTTATTCTCGTCGAAATTTCGGTGGAAAATGTATCATTAATCAGCCATTTATAACTAACGACAGCACTTGTGATATGGAAATCATATCTGATCATTCTATAAATGATTTGTCAGGTGGTGAGGATAAATTAGTTCATGAAACTGCTAGGATGCAAATTTTGCGTCGTATCTTGTCACATTCTAGTAATGAAAATAATTATTGGAATGTTCCAATAAATTGGATTGAATTACAAGCTCAGAAAAAACATATTCCTTTGATGGAATTTCAAACCCAATTCCAAGAGAAAAGTCGTGATATGGAATCATCTCTCAATATACTTCATAATTCAATTCCAAATAATTATGATGATATTCGAGCCTTAATTGATAGGTTCTTGTTTAATGCTGACTGGCTAAGATGTGATTATAGCAAACCATTCATAGTAAGTCAGAAAGTACAAAATGATTCCATAATGTTAAATAAATCATCAGTTTATCAAACTTCTTTATTAAAAGAGTTATTATATAATAATATTCTGATAATGCTTTTTTTTTGTATAGCAAATCTTTCCGCAATGGCAAGCTTTGGGAAGAAACGTAGAAAACATTGTTCAATATGTTGAGATAATTGAAGATATGAAAGATACAGTGAATTCTGAATTTCCTAAAAGTGAGAAAATTGATTCAGACTTGAAACGAATTCAAGAAGTTTTAGAATTCAAAAAATCTCTATATGGAGAAATTTTACAACAATCTGGGTTGGCATGGAAAGCCTTCGGATTTCCAATAGAAGAAGCTTGGATTTATGAGGTTAAGCAATGGTTATACGGGTTGGCTTTTCATTGTTCGGAAATGATGAAGAATGAATTGGACAAGTATAATCAATCGTTAGCGGCGGATGACGCGAAAATTGGCGAGGTATTCCCGAAATTAATAATAATTCCAAAAAATGTAATTTATAAAAGCACGTGTACTTACACCAACTTATGTTTATATCAAAAAAAAGTTTATGGACAATGTAAAGACTTGTTTAAAAATCGCGAGTCAAACAGTTCAATTAATAGGAAATCCTGACAACGAACTCACTTTATCTAATATTTTCCTTACAACTTTATATATCGATTGGGGAATATCCCAGATTGCAAAAATAGAAAATAAATCACGAAGTGTTGAAGTTAGATTGATGCATATTTGTGATCATATCAATCATATTTTGCATCATTTACGTATCATACAAGACGTTGATGGCCAAGATTTTTCTTTGATGCATGATGATCAAGGGTTATCCTTAAATATTATTGAAAATTTTGCTGGAAGTTTGGTTGAAACAGGATTAAGATTATGTGAACATATCACTAAACCAAAAATTAAAAGTGTTACCGGTCCCGCCAACTTTTTATACATGTATTCTGAATTTGTGGTGAATTTTGTTAATAGGGTAAGAAACTTAATGATAAAACGGTTTTTTATTTTTTTTATCTTGATGAATAAATATAATTTATTTATACGAATGAATCTTTCCAGGTAATTGAATATGCTGGAATGGATCAACCTATAGAAAAAAGAATGCGTCCTTTACTTACAAGTTTAAGAAATATGGAAGTCACGTTACCAGCTGTATAAAGGAAATAACCAAAAGAGAGGAGGGAAAAAGATGAATTCGTGGGTATAGGACTTAACTTGTAGGATATTAATTCTGTAATTTGCTTCAGTTATTATACACAAAAACATTTTTGGACAATTATACATATACACTAATAAAATAACTCGTTTCAAAAAGTTCGTTACGATCTACAAATCACGTGAAATTAAATTCAACCAATCAGCATTCACAATTCATAAAATTTAACGATTTTTAAATTTAACCAATCAAATTGCCATAAAATAATGAAATTTAATGTAAACAAAAAAATTTCATTTTCAACTCCGATCATTATATTTTTTTAAATACCTTATTAGTATATTTTTTTTTGGAACTTTGTGTTATTTCTCTTCATCACTTTACATTTCTACTTTTTCTTCACTTTTTTCTAAAAAAAAAAATGTTAAGTTCAGAAGACTTCGGTTCAGACGGGGAAGTTGACTATGATAAAGTAATAAAAGAGATAGAAGATATGGATATGCCAAACGCAATAATAACAAAACTTATAAATAATGCTGTAAGAATGATAATATTTTGTTATATTAGTTATTTCTTTTTTTTTATTTTTATTTTTTATTTTTATTTTTATTTTTTGCGTGTTGTCCTCGTACAAACCACGCGTATATATATATATATTTTTCTTCCTAATGATATTGTTCATATATCAATAGGGTGAAATGCATTAAAAAAAAACGATCCCAACAACTTTTTGACTAACCGCTTCTTACACATCAACAAAAAAGCTAGGTAATAACACAATACAGGATGATGCGAAATTAGCTGTAGTAAGATCAACCACTGCATTTATTAGTCATATCACCACTGCGTATCCTTTTTTTTTTTTTTTCGTGTTTTTGTAATTTTCGTTTAGAAATAACGATAATTATAAAGTCCTTAATTCAATTTGTCAAATTTCTTAAATAACAGCGCTAATCAGGTGGCAAAAAGTAAAAACCGTAAAAACATACAACCTGTCGATCTATTTAAAGCTTTAGAGAAAGGCGAATTTGAAGAGTTTTTACCGAGATTAAAAGAAGAATTAAATTGTAAGTGCATTCAAATTTTACCTGATATTTTCATTTAATAAAGGATATTAGGATGTCAGGGAAGCTAAATATGACTTTCAATGCTAACCCACAAACATTGGCGGAAATAATTTTTTTTCTAGTATTTCAGACTGTACAAAGAAACAAGAAATTTGATAAAGTAATACAGTCAGTTGAAGAAGAAGAATTATCAAGACAAACTTCAAATACGGTTATCAACGCTCCATCGGAAAGTGTTATTGTTGAAATATTACCGCATAATGGTATTACGAACGATTTATCCAATAGTGATAATAATGAAACGACTGAGACTGACATTGATAGTGGGAGTGGGTCTAAAGGAAAACGAAGACATTCTAAACTTTCAAAAAGAATTATAGAAGTGGTTTCTGTTAATATAGAAAATATTAGTAATATTTCACCAACCATAAATGGTAAAATGAAGCAAGAAAGTAATGAAACTTCACAGGTGGAAAATAATATAGAAAAGAATGATTTGCTGGATGATGGTAGTGATTTGACAAGTAATATAGGTTCAAGTAATGATGAAGGGACAAGTGGGGCTGAGTAAGTAGCTCATTAATGAATTAATATACGACATTATTCTTTGAAAAAAAAAAAAAAAATTAGATTTCTTCTTATCTTGTATTATAATACTATATTTATAGAAGAAATCGAAGGATTGCAGAAGAAAACTAAGTCTGTAAATTAATGACTGAAATTTTTCTGTATGTTTTCTTATTATATAAATTCATTTAATTTTATTCAATCACCTGACAATGTTATTTCTAATAAGGATTGATTGTAAAATCGTAAAGGAATAAAATGTGCACCGAAACATTAGTATCGATAGATAATATTGGAGATAACGCGCAGAAAAAAAAGAGGACATACAATATATATTGTATAAAAAAAATACGCATTGAACGAGCCACGTTTTCCAATTAAGCCGCAGTTTTTTTTGATAATGGAGCAAATTTGATATATGGGGCAAATGCAAAATCTTGTAGTTAATATAATAATGGTCTTAATAAACTTTGCACGCGTTTTTTTTCCTTTATCGAGAAAAATAAAAAAAAGAAATTTTTTAAGCGAATTTATTTATAATTTTTAAAATGTAACTAAGCTATAATGGTAATGGGCCACATTATTGATGAATTAGGCAAAATTACTGGTAGATTTAACATCAATTAAAAAAAAAATAAAATATAAAATAAAATTTTTTTTTTTGGTACAATTTTTAAACGAAAAATAAAAAATAAAAAATGACAAGTATAGCCAAAGAGTTATTAAAAAATTCCACTTATCCAATTATAAAAGATTCAAGAAAACATAAAAATTTATTTGAATTAATAAATGTCTTTCCGAATTACGGTGTCGGACTTAAAGTGGTTCGTGCAGAATTATCGCGTCAATTTTGACAAATTTTTTTTAATCTTGTTTTTGAAATTTTTTATTTTATAATGATATGAATGATGATAGGCACCGAACCATTGGATTCAGAAAGGTATTCGTGAAAGTTATTTTGAAATTACAAAAGTCAACCCCAGAATGAAGGTGAGCCTCATTTTTAATTTAATTTTTTAAATACTTTTCTTTTAACGTTAGGCTCTTTTTATCGTCTAGAACATAAATCACGGAAAGGCATTTGGGATTAAGGTTTGGAAAGGTGAGTTTATAAGTGAAATTATTTAAATTAAATATCAAAGAAAATTTATTTTTTATTTTTATTATTATTATCATTATTATTATTATTTTAAGGTAAAGTATTAAACGAAAACGAAGAGCGAATTCATGGAGCATTGAAATGGGGTTGGTATAGATGGAAAGAAGGAAGAATTGGTGGATGGAATTAAAGAATTTCTTTTTAATTTAACTAATTTTAACGCGTTTATGAATTTAATTAAAAAATCCTTTCACAAAAATCATTACATTTTTCTATATACATATATATATATTTTTTTTGTCTAAAATTAATTAATCGTCCTATATCTTGGTTACATTGTCTAATAAGATATAAATTAATTATCTAAGAGTCGCCGTTAAAGTTCTTTGTAATGACCCAAGCCCAAAATCCTTCTCCACCATGAAGGTGGTGTGGAATCATCTATTTGTTTTTGTTTAGCAGCTTTATCTAATGCCACAACAAGTCCAGAGTAATATTTTGGATTCGCTGCTGGTGTATACATTTTATCTGAGAGAGGATACTATGATCAAAAATAAAAAACCAGATTAAAATTTTTTTTTTTTTAAACAAAAGATTTTAATCAGAACTTACCTTCTCTTTAAATTCATTTTCTTCCAACCTTCTTAGAGCATTCAATTCTTTTTCGGCATGTAAAACCAAATCATTATATATATTCTGATCTTTAACAACTATATTTTGTCTAAATCCTTCTGTAACACGTAAATGAAGTACTTGTTTTAAATTACGATTTGGTCGTAAAAGATCGTTTGGCCAATTTTCAATAATACGAAGAAATCCACGGTAAAGTGATAATATTTCTGCTTTGGTTGAAGTTGACATTGCGTTATATGATAATTAAAAAAAAAAAAAAAAGGTTTTTTTTTCGAATCCAAAATTTTCACGATAATCTCTATTTTTTTATAACGTTACACGATCGTGCATGCCGCAGAATATTGTTCCTCGATTTGAATTTATGAACAAAAATAACGGAATAAAGAATAACCAAATTTCTCATCATAACCTTTTTCCTACAAATGTCTGTCCTAGATGATATTGAAGGAATTTCTTCACAAATCTTATCTACTCTTCCTCCTTCTTTTCTTCAATTCCTAGAAACGAACGATATAGACCCAACTATCTACACAGTTCAATCATTGCCTCGCTATATTCGTTTAAATACACAAATTCCTTCTTCACAACTTCCTTCCCTTTCTGACCTATCTACTCAACTTGAATGTACTCAAATTCACCAAATTCCAAATTTTCCACATTTTTATTCTCTTCCTTCCGTAATAAAAATTGTTAATTCCTTAGCTTATAAACAGGGAAAAATATTTGGTATAGATTTAAGTTCAGCTATAGCAGTTTACTCACTTGATATTCATCCAAATGATCAGATATTGGATTTGTGTTGTGCTCCTGGTGCAAAATTGTGTTTAATTTCTAATTTATTAGATAATAAAGGGATCGGAACTATTACCGGTGTTGATATCTCTAAAAATCGATTATCCATTTGTAAAAATTTATGTAAAAAATATAAACTTGCTAAAGTTCGATTGTTCCTCGAAGATGGGACAAGGTTTAACGTTTTGGCTCCTTCTTATTTGGTACCTATAAAAAAAATCATTGAGAAAAATCGAATTCAAGATGATAATCGTGAATTAAGCTTTAAAGAATTTGGCGAAATTCAATGTTCAGAAGATAAAAATGATTTGATTACGCCTTTCTGGACACCTAAAATATTGAGGAACGATCCACAAAAACGTGACAACCAATATCTATACGATAAGGTATTTTTTAAAAAATTTTTGAAAACGCGATTTATGAAAGTAACGTGAATTGAATTTTTAAGGTCATCGTGGATGCGGAATGTACTCATGATGGATCAATTTCTCATATCCTAAAAGTTAATAAAATTTTTCATTTCAATGTTACTTTTCATTCCTTTGATTAGAAAATTAAAAAACATTTTTATCCCTATCTAGTATGAGAAATCAGGATGGGAGAATTTTGAGAAAAACTTTTTAAATCCGGATCGCCTTAACAGTCTTTGGGATTTACAGGTAACTCGTCTTATCTAACTTTACTTTGGGAACTTTTTCTAACTTTTTCTTAATTTTAAATTATAAAGCGAGATTTATTACAGAATGGATGGAATCTACTTAAGCCCGGTGGAATATTAGTTTATAGCACTTGTAGTTTATCAAAGAAACAAAATGAGGATGTAATAGGATGGTTCCTAGCTAATTATCAAAATGCCCAATTAGAAACCATTCCAAATATTGAAAATTTAAAAACTGCCCCTCCAAAAGTATGTAAAAATAATGTTGATTTATTTAAAGTTGCAAGGTTTGATCCTATACATTCAAACACTTCGGGATTTTTTATCGCGAAAATTAAAAAGATAAAAAGAACCCTAGATTCATTTTGATAGGATTGCGGGTTCCGCTTTCGTGATTTGTAAAAATTCTCTGCATATATCTTCCGACATCTTTTTTGTTAGATCAATTGTCTTGTCCTCGGAATTTTCTTTTTTTTTTTTAATTGAATTTATTTGAAATTTTTAAATTAAATATATTTTTTTTTTTTTTTTGAACACATTATAAAAAAGAATGAATATTTCATAATGATTAAATACCGAATTCTACGGTTAAAGTTGGTTTAACATCCTTTTCTTCCAAAGCAATAACTTCAATCGGCAAACCCGGATTATTATAAATTATTCGAGGTAAATTTTCTTTCTTAAAATATCTATAAATTTAAAATCGAATCAAATAGAGTTCTTTTAGTTGTGAACCAAAAAAAAAAAAAAAAAAAAAAAAAAAAGGAATTAAACCTTGCACCAGCGTTGTTATTCCTTTTACTATATACCAATGATACTTTTTTCACATTGAGACCGAATTTAGCTGCTCCTAAACCTGTTTGTAAATCTATTAACCTCGATGATATATTGGAAATTGGTATTTTTTTAATGATTTTGGTCGTCATTCCAAAGAACCCTTTTACTTTTTGATAATCTACCAGTGCGATATATATGTATATATATGACCCGTCTGTATTAGGAAAAAATATATGAACCTCATATAGCTAATACGTGGTATGATTGGTTAAGGGTAATGTTGGCCATGAAATAATTAATTCTTTTTCGGTCTAGATCGTTACGTAACGCAAGAGCGAGACATCCTGACTGATTTATATAAAATTTCGATAATAAATGATATATGTAGTTCGTGTATAACTTCGCGTACATGTGCAAATTCATCTAGTTCGGAAATTTTTGATGTAATTTAAATTTTTACGTAACCCTACATTTGAGTTTGTTGGGAATTGCTCTTCCTGAATTGGTTCGTTCTTTTCGTCCGAATCCCAATTCCACCTCCGTAAAGATTATTTACATATGCAATATTTCCAAAAAAATCGCTGGGAAGTTGTTTTGATATTTCTTTGTTAATTTATTTTTTGCTTTATAGACGGCAAACCTAAAAAAAAATAATAATCGACAATTCTTTCTGCAATTTATTTAATTTATTTTTAACGATCGCACATTACACGTGTAATTTTAAGATAGCAAATATCATAAATATCATATAATAACCTTATCATTCAGTAAGCGCAAAAAAAGATAAAATAAAATACTCATAATTTTCATGTTAAACTTTATTGTATTGAACAAATTACACCTTCAAAAGCTCACAAAATCAAGAACCTAAAATGAAAACCGAAATCAAAAACTAAATTATGATAGTACTTGTTCGCTACTAGTAAACTAGTACCCAGGTTGCACGACGAGGACGTCAGTACTAATCGCAACCCAAAAAAAATGGAGCTCCTCAACCGAGAGAGCCTTTGGGTTTCTATCTAATGCCTTTATTTCTATTTTTTATTTTTTTTATATTTTATTTTATACCCCTCTTTCATGCCCCAAGTTTTCCTTCTTGGCGGTTTGTTATTCCCAGTTCTGTCCTTCTGGGGCGTTTGGTGTCCAGTTATCTCTTCTGGAAGTTTGGTAACCAGTTTATTCTATCTGGTAGTTTGGCCAGTTTCTATCTGGTCGAAGCTCTAAGACCGTAAAAGGAAGGTACATAACCGGGACCTCCTCCAGAACCAGTAGACCTTTTACAGCTGTTTTTTCAAAGAACTTCTGTGAAAAAAAAAATGTTTTTATACATGGGAAATAAAAGTTAAGGTTTTTAATAAATATGTTAGGAGAGGGAACACAAAAAACAGAATGTGCTTGCGAAAGACTGTGTTCGCGTAGGTAAGGGGAAGGAGAGAAAGAATAGGAAAGGGAAGAAAAGGAAAAGAACAAAGGAAAGGAAAGAGAGGAGAGAATAGGCAAGTGTTAAAAAGAATTACCACCAATTATATACCCTATTACAGGCCGGATATTACCATATTTATCATTAGACTTCGTAATGGCAGTTCTAAATACTATTATTAAAATAAGAAAAGGAAAATTAGGTTCTGGAGCCTAACTTTCCTAGTAATCTTTTTATATACTGTATTTACTCTTTATATATGAAAAATATAACATTTTTTTTTTATTAATAAATATATTACCTATTATTATTCTCTATTTTATTATATTTTTACTTAAATATATGTTTATTAATTAAAAGATTTTATTTAATATATTATTTTTATTTTTTAAGCTATAAAACATATTTTTACTTGAATTATATAATAAAGAATGACTTTTGATTAATTTTAAGCTTTTTTAACTATTTAAAAGTTTAGTTTAAGTAATAATATTTTGAATGAATAACTGTGTTAAGTTTTTGATATAAATAGTTGCTTTGAACAGTTACTTTAGCTATTCTCAAGTTGTTTAAGCTGCATTTTAAATTTATTTGTAGTTGAATATTTTCTTTTTTTTTTGTAATATTAAATATGATACATTTTAAGTTATAAAGAGAAATTAAAAAATTTTTTTAATACCTTAAATTTGATAAAAAAAAAAAAAATGTGAATAAGTATTTTTAAATAAAAAATATTTTATTTTTTCAAATAGAAAGTTTTTTTAATTTTTACAATTGTTATTATGATTTTTAATAAAACATTTTTGTACTTCAAACTTTTACATCCTTTCCTTTGTTGCTTTACTCTATTTTTATTCTATTTGTTATTAAATGTATCCAACATTTTAAAAATTTAAAGTTAAAAAAAATTATCAAATGGAAGGTTGCTATTAAAATCACATTACGAAACATATGATTTATTATATTCGTAACTCGATTTTAATAGCAAACCTCCCAAATGCTTTATACATAAGCTTTATTTATATTGATATATCCAATAAAATAAAGTCACTCTGACAATATTGAAATACCCAAGTTTCTTAGGATAATATCCAATTCTTCTAATTCTAATCCCAACTTTATACTTGTTACTCAAATGGTAACATAATATGATTAAGAATTTATTAACCGTTTTACAACATTGAAATAATCTGATACTACTTTTTTTTTTTTTTGACGTGTCCATAAAAAATCGAAATAAAAAAATTAAATTTAGAATACAGAAATAAACCAAAAGAAAAAACGAGATCTAATTATCTAATAAGAAAAAAATTTTTTTTTTTTTAAGTTATAAAAATTTGAAAAATGCTTCAATAGTTCACACGATTCTGAAAAAAAAAAAAAAAAAAAAAAAAAATGTTAAAAATTTAGACCCTTTAAATTTGTAATGGAAAAGCTACAAACCTGCATGTCGGATAGATAATCTCTTAATTTTTCGCTACCTCTTTCAACAACATTTTTAATACTCTCATAATCAGAACTGGCTTGACCAATAAATTTACGTGCAAAATCTTTCGCGTTTATTTCAATTCCAGTTAAATC